AAAAATTTATTAAAAAAAAATAAATTGTTATTCTTTTTATTTTTATAATATAAATAAACACTTAAGTGTCATGTAAAAGCTATTTGTTATTGCAGTCATATGACTTTACTAGCATTAATTCACGTTATGGAGGGTGTGCGGATACTTTTGTCCACCCTCTGTATATTTAAATTAATAAAATAAAAGATTCAAACATAAATATTTTATATAATTTAATTACTTAATTGTACGAATCATCATATTAGCCAAGTTTTGATAAAATAAATCTAATACTTTTAGACTAATACTTTTAAACTAATACTTTCTAAACTAACAAGAAAATCTAAAAATTCATTTGAATACTTGAGATTTTGCATGTTCTTATTATTTTTTTCACATTCTGCAGCCTATAATATAATATAGCAAAATTCTTTAAATACTGGTTTTTGATTAAATATATCACCAGCGGCTTTACTAATAAGTTCTAATCAAAATTCAGTAGTTGATAAATTTTCAGTACTAAGAAAATTATTTAATTGTTTAACTTGATTATTCTTTAAATACACTAATAACGGATTATTAGTATAATAAAATTTTAGCATATGCTTAATATTTTTTGGATCAAATATGGCAATTTAAACATGATTTCAGAAATAAAGATTCTGCTGAATAAGAGAACATAGTGAACAGGTCTATTCATAAGATCTTCTTTTACTATTAACTAATTAAACATATATTCTTAATATAGTAATATTAAAAAAATTATTTTAATTTTTATTGATAACTAATTAAAGCTATTATAAATAAATTTTTTACTAAGATGATCAATAAACCATTCAGATCTAGCTGCAATTTGTTTATTAAATTAAATCATTTCATCATTATTAAACTTTTAGAATTAAATTGTATTCTGTATGAAAATTTATCTGAAAAAAATTCTTTTTTAATATTTTCTCATTAACATATACTTTTATACAAAGTTAGTGTTCTATTAATATATGTAAATATTTATTCTGAAGTAAGTTTAAGATATAGTATATTTAATGTTAAAAGTTCTATTAATAGCGATAGTAGAGGTTCTGAATTTAAGTTTGAAGGTATATTTTTTGCTTTTTTAGGTATAATAAGAAATAAATCCAATAAATCAAGTTATTATTTTTTATTATTTAATTTATATCTTAAATTATTTGAATATTCATTAAGCCTTAACTCATCATAATCTTTATCAAGTATTATTTTTTGATTACATATGCAAAATACTGTACATTCATTTATAATAGCTCTACAAAATTTATTTTTAGCTAAACGCTCTTTTGTATGCTTCTACTTTATTATAATTGGAAAAAAATAGTCATATAAAAATGTTTTATTAATAAAGATGTTTTTTTTATCAAAAAAAATTTTAAATGATATTATTATAAAAAGCATAATTTTGCCTAAACGTGAATAGTGACTTTGTAAAAATCTATTTAATTTGCTAAAATCCATAAATGTAACTTTAAATCAAATTTAAATTGATTTGCTTAAACTTAAATTGTAACTTTGAATTAAATTTAAATAAATTTGCAAAAACTAAAATGTGAGTTATATTATAAATATCTAGGATCCTAGTATTGTATATAGTATTCTAATCTTAATCAAAAAATCAGATTAGTATAAATATTATTTCTGGGGTATACTAATTAGTGTAACTAGATAATTTATTATAAATTAAAAATTTTTTTTCTTAGTATTTAAGTTTTAAAAATTTGAAATAATAATTCTTTTTAAAAAATAAAAAAAATGACTTTAATATTTTATTTAAATATTCAAAAAACTTTATATATTTTTTAATATTGAATAATATTATTATTAAAGTTAATAAAATCTAATACTAAAACTATTTAAAAATAAATTTTAAAATATTCATTTTCTATATTTAATAATTTATAATTTAATTGATTAAATAATTATCATTAAATTTTTTGTTAAATAAGATATGTCTTTTTTATTTATTATTTTTTTTTTGTATTTTATTTTTTCAACTTTTACAACTTATATAACTTAAATTTATTATTTTAATTTTTTAATTTAAATCAAAGAATAAATTATTCAACTGTAATAGAAAAAATATAAAAATAATAGAATGTATGTGAAAAATAGCAGTTATTTTATATCATAAAAATGGGTATAGTAAAAATAAGATTACAGCTAAATTTAATATTAAAATAAAGCAATTTTGAGACTAAATATTTAAAAAATCATAACTTTTAAAACTCAACTAAATTTAAAATGATTAAATAAAGATTTACTTTAAATACTATATTTTGAAAGTTAAATAAATAAAAGAAAGAAGAAATAATTAATAAATAGTTACATAAAGTATGATATAGATGAAAAGCAAAACATTTATATAACAAAATTAATGACAAATCACATATTCTAATATTTAATTTTTTGCTTTTAATAACAAGTAGATAGATGATTTAATGAGTCATAATAATTTAAGTAATTGTTTTTATACTATTATTGTATAATGTTTACTAGAAGATTTAATTGAAAATAATAGCAATTTTTAGTATTTATTATATATAAACGCATTTAATATGATTATTCTTTAACATTAATTGGTAAATTTTAATAACATTTAATCTGCTAGGTATATACAGTCAATTCTTAATATAGCGAACTTTTGATATTATGAATTTTTTGAACAAATATAATAAAAATACTCTTGTTATAACGAATTGGCCAATCAAATCTCTTAAAATCTTCATTATAGCCTTATAGTAAAATTGAGGTCTAGGACATAGAGTTCGTTATAACAAGTGTTGACTGTATTTGCTACCTATACCTTATACTGTAAAATCCTATCCTATCTCAAATCTCATACTATATTTAAAATACCATATTTTATATCTGAAATTCCAATTTCAAATCCCAAATTCTATTTAATTTATAATATATTTTAAGTATATTTTAATCAATATCTTACTTACAAAAATAAAATTATAGTTATTTGAATCTGTTAATAAAAATGAAATTAATGAACTAAATATCATTAAATTATTATCATTAATTATGATGATATTATTTGTTAAAGTTTTAGTTTAAGGAATGAGATTTAGAATGGGATTGAAACTTTATCTATACCAATATAGTATGGGTAACAAGTATAGTTAGGTAATATTACTATTGATGAAACAGAAATGTGATCTATTAGCATTCATATAATAGAATATAAAAAACTAATTTTATAATAATTTTAACTTATATGATTAATAGAACTAAACTTTCTTTTTTTGTAGTTTTCAAACTTAAAAAAATTTATAAGGTAATTTTTCATAAAAAGTTATTGTCTAAGCCAATTCAACTGGATGGATGAATGAAAATGAAATGCTTTATTGGATTAAAAACATTTGGATTAAGTATGCAAGACTTTCAACTTTATTATTATTATTAGTTTTAGACTCATTTTTTGTATATCTTATTAATTTTGTAAGAAATTTTATATATATTAATTTTTAAAATAATTATTTTTATTTTTCTATCTTATTTTATAGATGCAACATAATTATAATAATTGGATGGCTGATTCTGTAAAAAAATTAACATCTGCTGGTAATATTAAAAGACCTTTTTATGAAATTGTAGTAAACTGGATGGAATGCTATTAATGCTAATTTAATTTGATGATCTTTTAAATGTTATGATATTTCTAATAAACATGAAATAAAAGATGAATTCAAGTCAATTGGATGATAGGATAAAAATAGATAATAAAGGTTAAAGAAAAATTTGTTAAGCAGTATAAATGAAAATATTTTTAAATAGCCATCTTAATTAGTATCAGGTACTTTTTAAAAAGATCAGCATTTTGCAAGAATAGTATCCTTATACTAATTAAGGGCGATACTTCTTTTCGGGGTATTTTACAAATAATAGTTTTATAATGCAAAAATTTTTTTTTAAGAATACGTATTCATAAGTTATAATAGAAACACCATTTTTCAATCTGTATAACAAATTCGAATCATGTAATTTATTTTCTTATCCTCATTTAACAGTTCTAACAAATCCAATTTCTATATTTTATGATTTGTTTTTTTTGGATTCCTTTTTCTTTAACAAAAAAAAATTTTATGTAAATGTACCATTTCCCTTTAATCATCATCTCATACGTATCACGGATATCAATTGTGCTACGGACCCGAATAAAATTTATTACCATTATTTAAAGTTTTCATAAATTCATAAAATTTCCTCTCCACACACCCCTTTTTTAACTTAATTAAAATCATGAGCAAACAATATAAACAAATAGGCGAAGAAGTATGGAAGAATCGTGTAGAGAAAATTGTAAGTGTTTTGGGGTAATATATATATATATATATATATATATATAATTTTCTTTTTTTTAAATAGTTACTACTAATAAAGGTAACTTTCACTTAGAACGCTGAACTGTTTACCTTGACTTATGGTTCAATTGTAGCTCAGCTCGTTAAGGATTATGAGGATTATCAAGAAGTGAATAAGCAGTTGGAAAAAATGTACTTTAAAATTATCATCATTTTATTTTTATTAATGATTTTATGATTTTTTTTTTTTTCAAAAAAAATTTTTTTTTTTTTTTTTTTTTTTTATCAGGGGATATAATATGGGAGTTCGATTAATCGAAGATTTCCTTGCCAGAGCAAGTCTAGGACGTTGTACAGATTTTCGTGAGACAGCTGAAGTAATTTCTAAGGTACATATATGATATAAGTACATAGGAGAGATAATTTATTTATCTATATATCACTTCTTAATTAAAAAAGAAATCTTTATTTATTAGATTGGATTTAAAATCTTTTTAAATATTACACCAACGGTAACAAATTGGTCATCAAATAACAAAGAATTTTCGTTAATTTTTGAAGAAAACCCATTAGCAGAATTTGTAGAATTACCAGAAGATGGGGCAGCAGATGAATTATGGTATTCAAATATATTGTGTGGGGTATTAAGAGGATCATTGGAGATGGTACAAATGCAAGTTGAGGCAAATTTTATAAGCGACGTGATACGTGGTGATGACCAAACGGAAATGAGGGTGAAATTAGTTAAATATCTTGAGGAAGAAGTACCAGCAGGAGAAGACTAAAAGAGAAAATATTTAATGAGTTATTATTACTTTTCTTTTTTTCACTTGAATTATATTTTAATTTTAGAAATAAGATAAAATATTCAATTAATAGATTCGTCAAGAGAGGGGGGGAATTTTTTTATTTTATTTTATTTTAAAAGTTTCAAGATAAAAAAAAAAAAATATCTAAACTTCCAAATTAATTTTTATATCTAAGTTGATTCGCAGTGAAATGAGGAGGGGACCATTTTAAGTTTTCAATATTGATCCTCCGTTTCCTAGATATGGAATTTAAACTTGTATCTAACATGGCCTCAGTTAATCTAATACAAACTTGTCCTTGATAAACACAAATACCAGATTCGTATAAAGTGAAAAGTATGTCGGATTGAGTTATGCTCGTTTTAGCAGTAATCTCATCTATGGTAATAAAATCCTCTCCGATTTCTTTTGTGTCCCATAAAACTTCTAGAATGGTTTCATACCAATATTGTTGGTAAGACAACAATCCCAGATCTGATAAGGGTCTTTCGGGAGATCCAATCCGACCCTCGATTTTTGATAATTCATATGAAAAAGAGATCAATAATCTACCGTAACCTTTACGTTGATAAGGTGGAAGGGTTAAGATGCATGCCAAGTTATTTAACGTGTAATTTTTTTCCTTTGAAAAATATCCAACGATATGATACCCATATTGATCTTGTTTACACATGATATAGAAAAGGAAAGGTAATAGATCATAAGAGAGACTTTTATGATCCAAGAATAATTTTGATAATAAACATAAATTTTGACAATAAGTTTGCTGTCGAGCCCCATCAATTTCAAAGAATGAAATTTCTTCATCTCTATAAATTTCATTTCCCGGTGGATGCATTATATTACATTTTTTAATATGACGACGTAATTGAAATTCACTTATGAAATAACTTAAACAAAATTCACAAATATAAATTATAGGTGAATCATTAAACTCTTCGGGATACGGTGAAAAATACCAAGTCTCGATATGATATTCTCCAAAATGAATTTCTTGTAAATTTTTAACCCTCCTCTTATTTTGTCCGCAACTCATAGCTCCAACCGCCTCCCCTTTCGAATCCTCATTCATCATGAATGATGGTGTTATACTCGTGATACTTCCGGGAGAATCATATTCCGTTATCGTTGCCGATGATGATGATGGTGGTGGTGGTGTTGGTAATGGTGGTGGTGGCGTCGAGAAATCATATGATGAAGTACAAGTCGGAGGTGTTGTTAAAACTTTACTAACGTCCAAAGATAAATTCGTTGTCAAGGATTTTTTTGGTGTCGTAAATTTTGGTCTCTCAATAATCACGTCCCTTTGAACATCAATACGATCTTCTGATACCCATTCATCAAGTCTTTTATTAAAATCGAGAAAATGAATGTAATATTCTTGATTTCCTTCAGAATTGGTTCGATTCGCTAAAATCTCCCCAATGCGATGTTTAATTTCCCTTTCGGAATCCATATGATCGGATAATTTTACATAATATTTATTACCAATGATAATTTCACGTTCATTAACTTCTGTTTTTGTGTTTGTTTGTTGTATAGGCGTGGTTGGATTGGATTCATGTCTTACAGAACCTGGCGTACCCGTATCCGGTTCCATCTTTTGATCGTGAATATCACACTTTATCGTGGCGCAGTGGGATGACACTTTCGTGTTTTTTTTTTTATATTTATTGTTCCGCGTGAAAAAAAAATTCAATTTTTTTTAACGAATCTTTTTTTTTAAAAAAAAGAGGGAATGGAATCAACAAAAGCAAAACTTTTTTTTTTTTTATTTAATTCATTTCGAAAAACAAAAGGGTGGTGGGAAAAATTAATATTTTGGCAACAATGATCGCTCATATCCAAAACATGTTTATACACGTGAATTTTGATGTATGGCACGTGACTTTCTCAATCCCATTAATCCCATTGGTTCAAAAGAACATTTTTTTAAAAAACTAATCTTCCGGAATGGCGCCATGAGGGACGACACCTTGATTCTCTGTTAAACTACCCTCAACAATGTAAGTATGAGGTCCCTTCTTACGTTCTTCCGTCACTTCATAGGCCAAGAATAAATTACATCTTGGACAATGTAATCTATATTGTTTTTCATATCCATCGGATCTAATTTGTATTCAAATACCAATAATTGTTACCGATTCAATATGAAAAAAAAAAATTTTTTCGTATTTCAAAAACAACTCACCTTTTTAGAATAACCGGATTTGTTGCTTCAACCGCATTTAATTTATATACTCTCTTACCATTGGAGACTATATAAGCATTATCCGTTTTACGTCTAGGCAACTTTTCTAATCTCGCATCTTAATTATCAAGTGTTTTTTTTTTTTTTCTTTTCTTTAGAACGAAAGAGCAATGTGAAAATCATTTGACGACGTGATAAATAAATAAATATTATTTACCTATAACCAATATAAATTCGCTACATAAACAATAATAAACGTGAAGATGTTGTTCAGGGTATGCATGAACTTGTTCCGATGATGATACGGTTGAACTTGATACTATCTTCGGCATTATTCTGAAAAGATAAAAAATCAAAACAAGGGTGAGTGAGCATTGATGATTGGTTTGGTCATATGAGTAAATTTCTGCTACAACACCCCACCCGATTAAGATTGTACTGAAGGGAACCAAACCACTTGCATCTTCACTTACACGAAGTAATCACCGCATTTGAGGGGGGGAGTAGAAAAGTGGGTTTATTTATACAAAATTTCAAAATTGTGGAAATGATGATCCTATTGCATATCTTGTCCAACAAATGGAATTTATCAAATGTTGAATTTAAATAACAAAAGAGGGATTGGAATCAAATAAAACGAGATATTGCATGGTCTCTTTTAAAGTTAGCATTAAGGAATAATTCTCCAGATCTTTTAAACAAACCCAACCTTCCATTACAAATTAGTGAAACTTTGGTGGAGTGTAGTAACTATTACAATTTTAATTTTACAGCGGATCTTTCAAGAAAATTTACTTTACAATTTAACAAAAATATTACAACGAAAGAGTTTATTCATTTGATTTTTTAAGAGTGAATTAAACTAATTAAACTAATTGAAATGAATTTGGTTTTAACCTTGATAATTTTGTGTTGAAAACAATTTTTTTTTTTTTTTTCCAAAAAAATTTTATCTCAAAATATATAAAAAAAAAAAAAAAAAAATCCTGAAATATATATAAGAAAAAAAAAAGAATAAATTCAAATATATATATATGAATGTATGTATGTATATTATATATATAGATCGAAACTAATATTTATAATTACACGATCAAAAGGAATAAATAAATAAATAATCAATATAAAACAACTTTCTACCACTGAAATTATGCCGAATAAAGAATTATATATTGATTTAATCAAATTTTACCCAACCAACAATATCATATACGACATTTCGTATTAATAATGTAAGTTCTGTTATGCCTATTGTACTGTATTTCATTACTGCCAAGGCAATCATCACTAAAAGATCGCAATAAAACATATCATGATTAGAATAAATTGGTAAGTTTATAAAGTACAGATGGACAAAAGCGAAGAACTTACCGAAAAATACTGGTACCCAGAATAAAAACAACATTTTATCTTTCTTTAATCTTTTATATTTTTCATCATGATGTTCCACACGAGCTATTTGTTCATCATTCAAAGAACTAAGATCATATCCAACCTTGCGACTTACACGTGAAATATTAGCAGGCGGTGATGGTGATGGAGCACGAGGTTCTTCGGGTTCGTGATGATACATTGGCACAACTGGTTGCGATCCATAAAATGGCCAACTATAACCAAATCTACCAAATCCTTGACCAACTTCTTTTGGTGATTGTTCTTGTTGAACAGGTTGATCTTGTCTAAGCCATTTATTCTTGTAATATTGTGCCATATTCATTTCACTCATGTCACCTCCATTAGCCATGCTTTTTTCATCTCTTACAAAACTTGTAAATCCACTGGGTATTATAGCGGGGAAAGTTACCATTGGTAAAGTTGGAAATTCAATATTCATGTTAAGTGAAGGCATTGATGGCATGGAAGGTCTTGGAATTGATAAGTTGGTGCCAAAATTCATGGTTGAAAACTTTGGGGAAGAAAAGTTTTGAAGGTATGGCATTTGTAAATTGGGCATTTGAAGATTAGGCATTTTAATGTAGGGAAGAGGAATGTTAATCTGAGAAGGTTTGCCTATAGTTGGCATATGCATGTGCGCAAATGTTTTTTGGAGCCAAATAGTAGAAGCAGAAGCTAAATCGGTGGCCATCTCAGAGAAAGGTTGTTTAATGTTCTTTTTATCAACTACTTCTGCATTTACGATTCCATCATCCTCTTCCGATTTGTTTAGTAATAAATCGTTAGCGGTCGCCGAATCTACCCAAGAAATGTTGGGTGTTGTTTCATGATTTTGTTTATCGTTAATGGATTCTTCCGTTTGTTCCCTATTCTCATCAAAATCATCATCACTGTCATCCCAATCATCATCAGATCCGTATATTGAAGATTGTTCGGATGATGATGACAACGATACCCCAGAATCGTGCAAACGATGATCATTGATAATTGCAACAATTTCATCGAAATTTCGAGATATGGCTAGATCAATAGCATACTGATCGTTGATATTGGGAATGATATCTCCAGAACCAGCTATTCATTTTAGAAATATTCAATTAGAAATCTCGTTTTAAACATAACCAATTAAAACCAACCAAGACTAACCTGTGATAAGTATTCTCACAATCTCCTCTCTACCTGTCCATGCCGCGTAATGAAGTGCTAGTGAAAAAATTTAAAGGTTAACCTAATTTCATAAGGTTTTTCGTTTAAACTAAATATATATTTAAAATTAAAAAAAAAAGCCTACCAGTAAAGCCATATTTGTCCTGTAAGTTCAAGTCGATGCCTCGATCAATTAACACGGAGCATAATCTTGTGTAACCCAACATAGCCGCTATATGCAGCATCGTATGTTGTTGACGATTTTGTAATGAAATACTATCATGCTCTGTTTCAAGTACATCTAATAAGCTTATTGTTGTTATAATATGTGCTTCGAAATTATTTTCTCCTGCTTGACGAGCAAAAGATGCCAAATGGCTGTGCATCCCATTCATACTTCCATTGCCATTGGAATTACCAGAATTACTGTTGTTATCATTGCCGCCAACGATGCGCATAGCAATGTTGCGTGCATCTTCTATCTTTCCGGTCATCTTCATACCTACGACTTGAAGCGCTAACTCCATTAAAGCTCGATCAGAATCTAAAAATTGAAATTTTATATTATTAGACTATTCATAAAACCACCAGAAACAAACTTTTACGATATGTAGAATAAGAAAATACCATCAGTGTAAGAGAAAAGGACGACTTCTTCCGGATTATCTATCAAGCTTATAGGAAATTCCTTAAAACTCACAACGACTGTACCCGGTGTTGGAGCTGGTGGTAAAATGCAAACCAGTGTATTTGGGGACCAATATTGTGTAGGAATTGCTGGATTTTCACCGAAAACACAAGTAAGTCCCTCTAGAAAATAGAAAATGGATGATTGATGTGAATAATAACCTTTAAAATTATGATTTAAAATATATTAAAAACTCTCATACAAACCAAAAAAGTTGCTTCCTAAAACGGTCACCTCAATGCCGCCATAAGTGGGACCTTCAGAAGGAATAAGCCTGCTCATCCTCGGTATGGGGTATCCGTTGATCGTACCATTTTGATAAATGGAATTTCCAGAAGTGTTATAAAATGATCTCCTTAGCATTTGGTTAGGATGGTGAGAAGCATGCAAGCGCATTGGGCCTCCACCGTGATGAGCGGCTGAGATATTAAATCGATTGGGAGCGCCGAGATTTTGATGTAATTGTGCCGTTTGATAAATGGGATTCATGTTGTTAAGTGATGTGGGTGCCATAGATAAGTTCATCATAGCAGCATTATTGGCTACCACGGGGAAATTCACTTGTGGGCCTGAAGTAGCCAAATTAGTATTTTGATCAAGCTGTTGATAGGGTTGGCTAGATGTATTTGGAGTATTTGGGGTATTTTGTAAATTTTGAGGAATAATGGGTGACATTGGTGAAATCGGTGATGCGGGGGATGATGATGAATTGAATCCAAATGAAGGCTGAACTTGTAAACGTTGTCGTGAATTATTGTTTTTTTCATGCTTAATCGTTGATTGTTGTGATGAAATCGATGCGATCAAGCTAGAATTTTGTGTGGGAATAATGGAAACTGGAGACGAAAGTCCTCCATTAGGTTCAGAAGTAGGTATTATTGATAAGGATGGCGGCGTGGATTGCTCATTTGTACCGTTTGATAATGAAGAAGACGCATGCCTTTCGCTGGCTTTGCTTTTTGTAGAATTTATGGGATTGTTCGCTGTTGTGGAATTTCTACGATCATATTCAGCTCTTGGTCGTTTTCTTCCAACACCAACTTTTGTTTTTGACGACTTGTGATCGTCAGTTATCATAATAGGAGGTGACATTCCAGTTGCAATGATAGAATCAGTATAATCTTTCATTACAAAGTAAATGCTACATGAAATTAGATGATTAGTAAAATTTTAATTGAGTCATTATATGAAAAATTAGCAATTGAAAAAAGAAAAATCTTTATTATACACACCAGAACCCAACTTTCTCATTATGATGTCGACAATAACACGTGATTCTTGTTGGTAAAATAGTGTCACCACTACTAAAATCAACGATCTCACTACAATTGAATAATAGAATTTTGCGTTGTTCTAATTGCATCGTCTTTTCATCGTCTAAATCCATTGGTTTATTGGCGTCATCGACTTGTGGCGCAGCAGCGTTCGAATTTGCCTTGGCGTGCCTGTTTTCTTTTTTACGCTGAGACCTCTTTCGCTATCATTTTAAAATAAGTGCACATGAAAGCAAGTAGAATAAAAAAAAAAAAAAAAAAGATTTCACGCATAACGAATTATGGTTATCATTATTCTTTTTTAATCCTTTTAATATATATATACACACATATATAATGATTGTTGAATTACACCTTACCTCTCGTTGGACACAACCCAGACAAGTAAGTACTTTTTTCGGTATCTCGCTCGCGCAAACCACGGTTGCTTCTAAATTTAGCACACCTTTTTCTGAGATATTCATTTGATCCGGTGGATTCCTTGCGTTTTTAGTTTTGAGTTTTTCTTTAGCAACCATATATTCGGGCAAGCGTAAATGTGACCATAATGGCACTTTTTCTCCTTTATCCGTGACAAGCTGTAGACATAATTTGATTTGTGTTTCTACACGAGATTTGGCACCAGTCTGCGGGACTCCGAGAACGTGAATCTGCAATCTAAATTTCAACTAAGAAATTAGTATGAATGATTACGTAATATACAAATTGAACAACAAAAAAAAAAAAAAGAGCCCAACCCTTTATCACTGATATCCTGCATATGACAATGTCGATCCGACTGAGGTGATGTGACACTTGGTTCTCTGAAGAGTTGTATTTTATACACTTAGTATTGATAAAACCTAACTTTTTTGAATAAAAGCATTTATCGCAAGATAAAAAATAAAGGTAACTTACATGTTATTATCATCAGATCCATTCATATATTCGAGGTAGCTCATATTTTTTTGTGTATAATTTGCTATACCTTGTGTAAATGTCGGGGACATGAACTATAGTATGAAATAAAAAAGGAAAGGTTTTAATTGAACCGAGTCAGAGGAGTGAAAAAAGTTTGGAAAAAATAAAAATAATATGAAGATACAAACATTATTTAAAGATTGCTGTTGAAGGTCAGTCATAGGCACAGGGTTGAAAACGGACTGGTGAACGTGGTGATCTTGTTGTACCGAAGGTTGAAGTTCTCTTGTAGGCGTTTGTTGAGGGGTCATGAAGAAAAGAGAAGTATTTGAGTCTAGTACTTCTAGTTTTGGATCCAGTAAAGTCGAGGGGTTATACAAGTTATTCACAGAAAAGTCGTCTGACGCCGGTGAATATGGAGAGTCGCAATTATTTTCCTCAGAAGAGGACGGCATATTATCTTGTATTGATAAAAGGTTATTCATTGGCATTATCAAATATCGTCTTTAAGGGGAAAAAAAAAAAAATTATGTATACACTTTTTACAATAAATTTTTTGGTTAAAAAGTATATTTATGATGCATCTAGCACAAAGTTTATATCTATTATCTTACTATTATCTATTGAAATGTGAGTAGTTTATTGTTATTATTATCTTTTATAATTGTAATAGGTAATGCCTATTTTTTTTTTTTTCTCTAGAAATTTGGTAAATGGTCATCTGGTTTTTTTTATTTACCTGTCGGACTTTTATCGGTTACCTTGAATATTTATATTACCTTTAATAAAGAATACGGAATTCCTTATTGAGAATGTAACAGTCACATGGTATGCGGTCTGAATTCATTAAAAAAGAAATTCTTTTTGGCGATTTCAAGGGATCAAAAATAGAGAGATTGACTCATATAATATGATTCCATCTTTCAAAAAATTTATATTTTGTATCAACATAATTTGGAACGAAAAGGTTTCAAATGTCAAAGTTGAACATCTTCCCTTGGAGATCATTGAATTTGGCATATTTAAGATTTTCGTAGAATAAATTCGAAAAAAAAAAAAATATATAAATAAATAAATAATTTTTTTTTTTTTTTCCTCTCGCGAATTTTATATAATAATAAGGTTAGAGGTTGGTCCCATGCCTGACTCCGGTCGTTTTTACCAAGTTCAGGACAAAGTTTTTAAAAATAGCGGGTCGAGGCTGAAATTTTTTTTTTTTTTGATGCTTTATGATTGCAGGAAATGTAACAAGATTAAACGCTAGTTTTGCTTATTTTGTTTTTTTCTGTAGCCATGATGCAATTAACTTGTCTTTAAACCTTCGTTATTTACAAAGAATGTGTCAAATTTGGAATGATTTAGGAATATATACCGGCACCTAACCCAAAGCATAAATTAAAGTTGATCGAGCGATTTTAGATTTATTTTATCAAGGATGCATGAAATGATTTTATTTTATTTATATATTAATATAAAAAAATAAGGGATTAAAAAAAGAATTTAAGATCAATCAAAAAAAAGAAGTTCAAAAAAAATTTTAGATTATCTTTTTTCTTTCTAATGTTAAAAATAAATCAATTTTTTTGTTTAAAAAAAGAATCTTCTTTTTTATATCAAGTGCAACACGATTGATTTTCTTAACGAATTAGAGATATCAGAAATCAAAGGTTGTGTCAAATCGATAAAATGTTAAAAAACTTTTTTTCACTATTTCGAAGACAATGTAATTTCTTCAATACAAAATCTCTTTCAATAAATACTAAATTTGCTGATATGTATACGTATACGTATATGTACAACACACTGACATTCTAAAAATCCCCGACAATCTAATTAAATAACTCACCTTTTCGATTTTAAATTTAATCAAACGGAACATAAAGTTGGCCAAGAAAAAGTAAATCTCCGTTCCGAACTCCGATTTTGACTATGATCAGCTGCTCTCTCTCTTTTTTTTTTTTTTTTTTTTTTTTTTAAAAAAAAAAAAAAAGCAAGCCACAAGCTTTTTGAGCCAATTAACTAAGTTTTGCCCCGATATAATTTTTCAATTATCGAGATCTTATTCTTAAAAGTTATTATTGAAAAAAATACTTCTTTTTTTTCTGAAAAAGAGACATTTCTTACGACGGTTTAACGAAAAGCAATGTAAGATTACTGTTTATATTTTATCCATCTCATTCTGTTCTTAAGGTAATTTTTTTTTTAAACCTTACTTTATAATTTTATATGCGAAAACCAAGTGGCTCGTTCTAACAAATTTTGTGTAGTTTCACAGCTACGTGCGACTTAATTAATTTATTCTTAATATTCATTTAAAAAAAAAGCAAAAATCCGGAACTATAAAGTTTACGGTACCCGCTTAAACCTGTTCTTTTTAACGCTATGACGAGTAAAGGAAATAGTAAAACTACACAACGAAAGAGTAAGCCAAAGAAACAAAGTTCGGCTACCAACAAAAAAAAAGTGGTTGATACTCACGTGAAAGCGACCTCCAAGAATGAACAAAAGCCGTCGAAACAGGTCGTGAATGATGTTTCTCTCGTAAAGGGGAAAAATAAACTCATGAAAAAGGGTGTAAAAAGGAAAGTCGAAGATATCGAGGCCTATCAGGTCTCCAACGCACAACCAAAATTGTCACTGAAAGTTGGGTGTACACATCTAAAAGAGTATAAAGAGAAAAACCACGATACGTATCTGAACAACTTCAGATCCATTGCAGAGCTATCAATGCGATGGTACAAATTTGGTATTCCCAAATCAAACAAGACGAGTATGGGGACCCAGTTGTTCAAGCACCAAAAATGTTCAGCTTGCAATCTCAAGGGAAATCGATTACACGCATGTCTTGATTGCGTTTTCATCGGTTGCTGGCGTGACAAATATCATGCCCGTTTACATTACAAAAATTCCGGTCATATCTTTGCGACAGATGTGCGAAGGTTAGAAATATTTTGTTTCAAATGCAATGATTATATATATGACAATGACTACGACAATGTCAGGAAACATGAAGAGGTTCGAGCTGAAGAGAGAGTGTCCGATATCAAGGAACCCGCCCGAAAACGAGCGCGGTACATACCTTGGAAACCAAATGATGAGGAGGCAAAAAAGATCGAAAGGAATTCATCCCCCTTTCCTTGCTCGGGCTTGAGAGGTCTACTTAACATGGGTGCGACATGTTTCATGAACGCCGTATTACAGACGTTCATGAATAACCCGATAATCAAAAACTACTTCATGACGGATAAGCATAACATGAAGATATGTGGAACCTCAGGATGTATGTGTTGTGAAATCGACAACCTCTTTCAAGAGTTTCATTCGGGAGAGAAGAAGCCATATCCTCCGTGTAGCTTTTTACAATCGATGTGGCTTAGCTCTAAGCATCTCGCCGGCTACTCCGAACAAGATGCTCATGAATTTTACTTGGCCGCCATTGAAAAGATGCACGGTGACTCTCATGAGACCAAACATCAGGGATTAAACGCCAACATTCAATATTGTGAGTGCATTATGCACAAAACTTTTGGTGGTTGCTTTCAATATAGAAGAAAGTGCTCTCAATGTGGCATGTTCTCAGATCGGGAAGAACATATGGTGGATTGGCAGTTACATCTTCGCGGCCTTGTTACCAATCAGAAAAAGAAGAACGGTACCAAAGCTTCGCAAGAATCTAATGTCAATGAGATGGATGTCGACAAGAACAGCCTCGAAGACTGTCTTGATAGATATTGTGAGAAGGAGCAACTCCCTGAATATAAATGTGAAGATTGTGAAACTCGATTGTCAAATGGTCACGTCCTATCTGATGAGATCGTAAATTCATGTTCAAGGACGACCACTTGTAAGAAGTTGCCTCCAGTTTTGACGTTCGTCGTTGAACGATTCCATCGTACTTCAACGAATACGATTAAAAATGAGGCAGAATTTGAATTTCCCGAAGAAATCGATATGGCAAAATGGACTAGTCGTGGTCATGATATCCTTGAAAAAGGTGGAACCTTGGATGATTTGCCAAGTTATAATTACAATTTGCTTTCTGTCGTTAATCATGAAGGCAGACTTGACACGGGTCATTATACAGTATATTGTAAAAGTCGTGACAGGTGGTTCTTGTTTGATGATCATGCGGTGAAATGTGCAAGCGTTGAAGAAGTTTTGCAAAGTAGGCGTAAAGCATACCTTTGTTTTTACGTTGCTGATACTTTGGAGTACGATCAACCTCGACCAATGAACGCTAAAAATTCATACAAACGATGACAATTTTGAACGGACAAATTCCTTATATTGAACAATTCAACGTCGAAAAAAAATTTTTTTTTTATAGATTATATAATATAAATATAAGATATATATATATATTTTTTTTATTATTTTTGTTTGGAGGCAAGGATTAATTTTTATGAAGTAGTTGTCGGAGTTGACTCCTTGCATTAATGTAATAATTGTCAGTGGAAGTAATCGTTATACCAAATAATTATTAATACTTTCTATTGATTGTAAAATCTTTGATGGTTTTAATTAAATATTAACATTTCAATTAGATTAATTTTCTGTTTATATAAAATTTCTTTATTTCTTTTCGTTTATAAAAAATAGCAATAAATTTTTTGCATATACAAAAAAAAAAAAAAAAAAAAAAAAAGACATTGTATGATCTCGGATAAACCAATTAATTAGTTTGTTATCTTAAAATAAATATTACACGGTATGAATAAAATATTTAAAAAAAATTGATTATAAATGAAATGATTGCAATATAATAAATGAAAAAATGTTAATTATTATAAACCCAATTGACATTCCTTTCATCATCAAGTACACCGATACGATGATAATAAGTTTTAGGTCGAGTATAAGGATCTAAATCTAATTGAGCTCTTCTTAATTTAAGTTTTAATTGATCCCTCTCTTTAATGATTTGATCATTATCAGGACCTTCTATCAACTTTCTAGTGATAAATTCAAATTCATTTTCTAAATTTGTTCGAATTTCCATCAATTCCTTTTTCTTTATTTTGTCTTTCATTTTATAATTTTCATCATCGGTAGGATGAACATATTCATATTTCCATTTGTCTTTACCACCCAAACCTTCAATAAGGTGCTCTGGGGGTATTAAATTCATAAGTTCTTGTTCAGTTTTAGTAAATGTAATTTTTGATGCCACGACCGGATCAAGTAATGGTGATATGACTTTCCAAACTTGAGGAAAAACCCACGGGGCTTTATGGATAATCAATATTCCCAAGCTCTCCGGATAATAGGCCTCAAAACATTGAATCATGAATTTGACATATTGTAAGTCCTAACAAGACAAAAAAAGAATTCCCCTTGGTAAATTATTTGAATCGAATCAATGAATGCCCTTTACGAATTTGAACTTTGATCTTACCATATTAGCTAAACTGAATCCTTCCATATTAAAGACGAGACAACCCGTTTCAACTGGAGGTTCGATCATCAGACGAACGGTCTCCATTACATAAACCGTAAACCTCTGAAGAATCTCAAAATTTTGATCGGATTTCTTATGAGCTTTAACATTTATGTAACTGTGGTAGGTAGTGTTCATGATTAGCATATATGTATCTTTATGTATCTTTTTTTTTCCTTTGGTGATACTTCTACATAAAAAAAAAAAAAAATGGTACCTACACTATTGGTCTACCTTCATAATCAGTCCCTCTAACAAAACTTTTGCCACAGGTAAATTGAGTTTTTAATCCTTTAACACCTTTACCATCAAAATACCTTTCCATACCTAATTCACCACCTTCAACAATTGCTCTAACATCAAATTGTAATCGCCATTTTAAGGTGGCAATTAACATGGCTATAGCATTGTCAACATCCCATTTTCTTGCTCTAAGGAAACGTAGTAATAAAACGTCGGGGTCGTCAGCGCCAGTTAATAACCAAGTAGCTTGACGTAAAGCTTCCGGACTATAAATTTTCATAGCAGACATGCATTCCTCGGATTCATTATATTTATCATTATTTAATTTTATACCATTTTTTGGTTTATTTTTTGATTCATCATTTCGAAGACGGGAAGTTTCACCATCGTTTGCGCTTTGTATAGCATACATAGCGGCATAACATTTACGTAATAATGCAAATTGTTCTTTAGTCAATGTACCAACATGACCTAACTTTGGGTCTTGTTGTTGTTGTTTAAAAGCAATAGAGGTACTCATTTTTAATGGAGGTAAAAAATAAAAGTAAAAAAGAAAGTAAGGAAAAAGAGTGAAGGATTTATATAAATATTTCAAAGGAATGAAGGAATGTATAATAATAAATAAATAAAGAATTCAACTTCGAAAGAAATTTTCATACACAAAATTAGGTAACTTGTAACCTAAAATTTATAGATGGGTTCGTCGATCTCTATGCAGGTAGAATTGGTAGAAATTCCCGCGGAATTTAGCCCGGAAATCCGGATTATTATGAATGATATAAACTTGTTTAAACTTGTTTAAAACAAAACAAAGTTTATACAAAAACGTATACACATATTTATTTTATTGTTGATTTTAGAATACAGATGATTTAAATACAATTTATTTTTTTACTTATTTTACAAAATAAAAAAGATAAATATTCAAGTTTGGTTAGATTATTTACGAATTTTTTTAATAGATACTTTTTTTGATTAGTACAAAGATCTTTTTTCAATAATTAATAATAAAATAATAATGGTACCTAGTTTTTTTTTTTTTTTTTTTTAAAAAAAAAAAAAAGGAAAAAACAAAAACGAATAATAATAATAATAATAATAATCACATCACATCAAACCATTTTTAGACACTAAAATATACAAGAGATCAGCTTATTCATTTCTTTAAAAACTTTCCCAGATCAAGAGAAAAAATTTTTATACTATGTAAACGATATCGGAAAAAAGAATCTGAATTGCTGACTTAAAATTTTTTTTTAAGATGAACGATATTTTTTTACAAAAAGGAAAATAAAAAAGGAAAGTTTTTTAAGACAATTTTCCCCTCCCTCTTTAGGCAGCGGCGGCATAATACCCAGATAAATAAATATTCCCACTTGCTTCCTGACCTAAACATTCTTTAACTAATAATCTCTTCAACCTTTCACAACTCGTTCTACAACCTGAGCTTGCTGCTCTTTCAAACCAATGTGTTGCCCCTTCAAGATTAGCATCGCAACCAATTCCTTTCTCAAGAGCATTAGCAAGATGATACATGGCTGTAAGGTGATCTTGTTCAGCAGCCTTTAGGAAGTTTTGAAATGCAGTTTCTTCATCTTTTTCACATCCGATGCCTAATTGAAGACACACACCAAGCTTATCTTGAGCTCTTGCGTGATTTTGTGCAGCTGCTGCACGATACCAACAAACTGCCTTAACCTCATCCTTTTCAACTCCGATACCGTTTGCGTAACAGAATCCCAAATTACATTGTGCCCATGGGTTATGCGCGTTGGCAGAAAGTTGATACCAATACACGGCTTTCGTTTCATCCTTCTCAACGCCGAGACCCTCTTCATAGCAATACCCTAAAGAATTCTGAGCCAATGCGTTACCTTGTTGTGCTGCAAAAGTAAACCATTTGACGGCCTCTTGTTCGTCTTTTTCTACTCCAATTCCATTACGGAAACAATATCCAAGGCTTAATTGGGCCGGTGCATGACTTTCTTCGGCAGATAAAAAGTACCAATATACTGCATCACTTTCATTAACAGCAACACCGATACCATTTTGATAACAATATCCAAGCGAATGATAAGCAAAGATGTTGCCACGTTCAGCTGATTTTGTGTACCAATTTACTGCTTCAGTTTCATCTTTTGGTACACCGATCCCATTTTGATAACAGAAACCAAGATTATGTTGGGCACGAGCATGTCCCTGAAGAGCTGCTTTTTTGTACCAAAAGGCGCCTTCAACATCATCCTTGAGAACACCAATGCCATTCTGATAACAATACCCGAGATTACATTCGGCCCATGGATAACCTTGTTCTGCCGATTTACGATACCATTTGGCAGCTTCTACGGGATCTTGATCTACACCAATTCCATCTTCGTAACAATAACCCAAAGAATTTTGAGCAAAAGCATTTCCCTGTTCAGCAGATAAACGATACCATTTAACAGCTTCGACTACATCCTTTTCCACTCCGATTCCGTCTTCGTAACAGTATCCAACATTGTAAATCGCGACAGATTCGCCTTGTTCTGCTGCCTTTCGATACCATTTCATTGCTTCAACCTCATCTTTCTGTACTCCAAACCCTTCACCGTAACAAAATCCTAAAATTCCTTGACCACGTGGGTGACCCTGTTCTGCTGACTTTTTGTACCATTTAAAAGCTTCTGATTCGTTTTTTTCTACACCCACACCATCATGGTAACATACTCCTAATGAATACTGGGCAGCGGGATGATTTTCTTTACATGCTGCGTAAAATAGCCAAGCGATGGCCGTTTTTCCTTGGTCTTTAACTTTTTGCTGCCACATTTCTGCTTCTGCACGGTCAATATGGACCGAAGGACGTCCATATTTCCTTAAAAATGCAAGCCTAGCTTGCGCCAAACCATTCCCAAGTTCGGCAGCAGGGATGTAATGTAATTCGGCTTGTTTAAAGTCCTTTTCAATTCCCAAACCAAATTCATAACAGAATGCCATTACCCCTTGAGATTCCGGATGTTTTAACGAGGCAGCACGTTGGAAAAATTCGAAAGCTTTCTTTTCATCTTTAGGTTCCCCAGCACGTCCAAATAGATATGTTTCACCCTGCCTATAAAGATACTGAGCGTCTTGATCTTGTTGACAAGTTTTACTATTGCTACTACTACCGCTACCGCTACCGTTGCTGCTACTCCCAAAGGTGTACCTCTTGTTTAGTTTAGACACCAACTTTTTCGATCGGTGTAAAAAATGTGCCGCGGTTTGTGAAATGGGATGAACTGCCATTATATTATTTCAATATTACGGGTATTCAGAGAATCGAGAAAAAAAATAAATTGATCAATAAACTAAAATAAGGTAAATAAAGATAGATGTAAATATATTATTGTATTGCGCAAATGTCAATAAATAATTTTTATATATTGTCTTAATTTTGCAAATTGGATAAAATACTAAATGACTAAACTACGGATATATAATATAATAATGATAATATATTTTCTATATAATGATCTATTGAGGATCTATACAAGATCTTTCTAGGTATACTTGGCATAAGTGAGCAAGCATAAACGATGCGCTACGCAATTAGTTAGAATTCCTAGAATTCCTGTTAACGATAAAAGAAAAAAGAAAAAAAAAAAAAGAAACAAAAAAAGCAAAGAAAAAAAAAAAATTGTTAAAGTCCATCGGTGAGTTAAGATTGATACATATTGTTTTAATAAATTTATTTTTTACCTTTTTGCCAAGAATCACGCAAGAGAATTAGGGAAGGAAGGACTACTTTAATTTGATTAATAGATAGCCGCATAATGCCCGAGAGAAAAGGTGAACGGAAGAATATAGATAAAAACGCAGTGGTTTTTGAAATACATAAAAAAAAAAAAGGAAGACCATTTTTAGTAACAAAGACGCATTCTATTTAGAAAACATGAAGAAAAAAAAAAATTCTTAGTTGCCAAGTTGCTTAATGTGAGCAACTTCACAAAATTTACCTCAAAAATGTGTAGTAAGGGAGCCAACAGAGGACCCTGGAGTATAGGTACGGAAGAGGAATTAAGAAAATTCTTAGGGTATGATGAGTGAACTATTTCAGATGGTGTATTACTCGGTTATTTATTTATTTTTCTTTATTATATTACAGAAGGGTTTTTACTTTTTAAGTTTACTTATTTTTCTTTGTTAAGTTATTATTGGGGAAATGGGTTTTTTATATTCGTTTCAAACTAAGTTTGGAGAAAAAAAGTCGTAATGATTTTTTATAAAAATTTATTTTAGCAAGAAATCGTTAGAATATATTCATCACCTTATTTTGGTTTTATTTTAAAAAAATTTTGAGTATTTCTTTATACAAAGAAAAAATTTTTTTTATTGTCGTCGAAGAGTGGCGGCGGAGGGTCTGAGGGGAATGGATGAATTTCAACTGTGTAAAATTCGATAATAACTTATTCAAATTGCTCCGAATTCTTTATCAATCCGATTTGTTCCGTTATGGAATTAACTTCGGAAAAAATTTAATTGGATTATGCACCATGCACTTTGGATTCCGTAAAATCAAGTTCCGCAGTAAATGAAGAATCGACAACGTTCGCGATAGAACGGATTGCATTAAAGTTTTGTTGCGAATTTTCATCAAATTCACTAACAACTTTGACGGACCCATCGTTTTAGCTTATTTACAACGCAGAGAAAAACTTAATATTTTCAATATGCCCGCAAATCCGTACGATCTAGATCCCGAGGTTCAAGCAATCTTGAAAATTGAAACTTTTCAGGTACAAATTTCAAATTAGATTACTCAATTTCCGAATTATTTTTTGAAGTTTCACGTGTTATTAAGTTACTTGCTCGGTTCAATGATAGCAAGGAAATTTCACTACCAAAGAATTTGTTGAAAACACGTCAAAAAACCTGTTGAAACAAGCCAATCCAAGAGGTTTGTTTATTTCTAAACTTTTGGTGTTGAGTATCTTTGTGTTATTTAGATTATTTTCTTTTATTAGCCTTTGATCCTAAACCATTTATAAGAACGTTTGAAAGATCCATTGATGAACTTTTGAAGCTTCGAGATTCAGTTAATAAAGAGAGTAAAGACTTGGAAACAAGTATGCAGCTCATTGAATCCGGCCATCGAAAAAAATTAGTCGAGCTGAAGACTACCTTTGAAGTATATTTTTTTGTTTGTGGGCTAAATATGTATTAAGATTGTATAGTAAATTAACAGATAATTTGATTATAGGATGTTGTTCACTCATTTGAAACTTTGGAAACAAGAATTAATGAAGTGGGCAACACTGCAATCAGAATTGGTACTATTAATATTTTATGATACAACGGAAATATACTTGGTAATATAATGTAACCTAATATATTGATTTATAATTCAAGGGGAACAACTAGAGACGATTGATAGGCAGAGGTTGCGCGCCTCTGAATCCAAAGAATTGATCGAATATTTCATGGAATTTAACAGAGGCGATATTTCACAATTAGAGGATTTGCGAACTCGAGGAGGAAAGGAAGGCCAGTTTAAAGTAAGGTTTTTTTTATCGAATGAATTATAATCATTGATAAGTTCTAAAATGTTATGTTGGGCTATAGGCTGCAATTATAGCAAGAAGATTGAATGCTATTGCAAAAGAAGTAGATATTCCTGGAGGTGAATTTGTGAGTGTTGACGATAAATCATTGTTTATGATTATTTTAATAGCGTAATTTACCTGTCTATTATTTACTAAATGTTAGGCTAGATCTCGCATTGAGAAATATTGTGAGGATTTGGAGAAAGAATTGCTTGAACAATTTGATAAAGCATATAGACGAAAGGATGTTAAAGTTATGCAGGTTTGTACGTTATGGTTGTTGTCAATTCGATTATGAATTGCGTCTTCTCAATAATCATGATCCTTTTTTTAGCATTGTGCAAGAACACTTCAAGAATTTAACGGTTGTGAATCTTGTATCAAATTATATGTCAATCAACACGAGTTTTTTATTACAAAAATAAATTTGAGTCAAGCAAATGGATTTTTGACAAGTTCAAGGTATTTTTTTTTGATTATGATTAAATTAATAATGATTTTGACATAATCTCGACCAATTTAATGAAACTATAGTTTTGCATCTTGGAAGTTGGACTGATTTACCAAACCCTGAAGTATCGCCACCACCGGTCGACCAAGGACTTGTCGAGCTTTATAAGGAGATTAGAACAACAGTCAAGCAAGAAGCAGAAATTATAAATGTCGTTTTTCCAAATCCTGTTAATGTTATGCAAGTATTTTTGCAGCGTATATTCGCTCAATTGGTATGTAATGAACGTGTATTTAAATATTTTAGATATATATATCATCTAATTACTTCTTAAACAGATTCAAACTTACTTGGAAAGTCTTTTGACGCATGCAGAAAATGATTCTACGCTAGCTTACCTACGTTCTTTAGCAGCAGTTCGAACTGCTACAATAGAATTAGTTGAAGACATGAAAAGTCTTGATATGAGGCAAAAAGGGGATTCTAACATAATTCCCTCAGATGTAGTTGAGGAAGGTTCTCGTAAAAGTAATACGGTTGCAGAATTATTGGATCAATGCATTGAGGATTTGTTCGTTCCGTATACTGAGGGTGACCGTTACATTGAAAAAGAGAAGAAATCCTTAAGTGAATTATATTCATCCTTGCTATTACAATTCAATGCTTATCATGTAGGTGTAATAAATTCGTTGTTAAATTATATTGTTACTTTAAAAAATATATTTATATGTATTCAATTGTATTTTATTAGATTCAACAAATTAAAGCGCATGCTGGAAGCTTGTTTCAGCGTGCTGTAAATCAAATAACATCATCTTCCTTGCCTAATAACTATGGCGGGAGAGATATTACTGATATGATGACCACAGAAGAGGATGGAAATTTATCCATAAATACAGCCATGCTAATATTTAAAATCCACGCTGAAGCCATAAGACGTTCAGTTAAACTTAGTCCTCCTACTGAATTGTATGTTGATATTTATGATTTTTTCTATCTTTTATATTAAAATTGTAAATGGTATTAACAATTATAACCGATTTTTTTATTTTATTTCCACAGACCCAAGTTTACTAGTACATTGTTCCAAGTTTTGTTGGACAGTATTGGCAAACAATATTTGGACATCGCCTTAGACACGTAAATAATTTCTGCGTTGAGTTTTATAAATGTCTATTTCAACTCTAATTCTTTAGTTTATTCATTTTATAGGTCTTTAGATCAGATCGTCGCTATGGATTCAAAGTCTGATCCTGATTTTAAACCCTTGACAGTGGTAAAGCTCGCAAAAGACGTTATATATCTTGCCCAAAATCATTTTCAAACAGCAATTGTAAGAAATTAATTATTATTTTATATTATTTACGTATATTTATTATATTAATGCCTGTTTGTTATATAGCTTCCTTTGGCTTCTCCATCGTTGACTATACACCGAGACCTTACTTCGGATAAAAATAGATTTATGATGGGTGTGGAAAACAAAATAAATTCGGCTATACAAAAGATGATCGACGGTAATTATATTTTGATCTAACCCGTGAACTTTACAAGGATCAACTTTAATCATGAATTTATTTTATAGTCATTCTTGCAAGGTTAAGTTACCTATTATCACGACAGAAGAAAGTAGAATTCAAGCCAAAAGATGAAGATGATATAATCGCTAGTTTGGCTACAATGGTGTGTTGTATATATTATCGAAACAAAATAAAAGAAAGTTTTTTCCTTTACTTTTTTGTTCTTTAATTAAAGAATTAATATATTTTTGTTATAGCCTTGTAACAATTGTGTTGAATATTTGAAGAAAGTACATTCATCAATTAGTCAGTGTCTTGATGGAAAAAATCTGGAATATGTTTTGATTGAAATTGGTGTAGCATTTCACAGGTAATATATACACAATTATGTTAACTTGTGTTCTTGTTATTCGTTCTTAACTGATTGTGAATTTGTTTCGATAGTATGCTCTTGGAGCATTTCAAAAAATTCGCAGTGAGTGCAGCAGGAGGTTTGGTTCTAACAAAGTAAGGACTATTTTCAAATGTGTGATAAGGAATAAAAATTTTGACGTTTAAATAACATCAAAAAAAAAAAAAAATTTTTTTTTCAAATTAGGGATATAACAAAGTATCAAGAGACAATTACATTGTTTAAAATTTCCCAACTCGACGATCGCTTTGAGATGTTGCGTCAATTAGGAAATCTTTTCATTGTTAAACCAGAAATCCTTAAATCTGTACTTAATGAAG